TGTACCGGGAGGACCCTATCGGTCATGTTGACCAACACGTGCCGTTCTGTCAGACACCCATGCGAACTGGACCATACCCAAGGCTGACGTTAGCATCGGCTCGGCTTATAGTCGAAGGCCGAGATTAGTCAACTGGCACATGTCGGCTCGGCTGAAGGCCGATGCAAACAACATGATGTATCCCCGCATACTATGTATCGACTCGGCCCAATGCCGATCCGATAGGATTACCAAGTAAACGCCAACCGGCCCGGTCAACAGCCGAAGACATGCAACCCTCCAAGCATTAGCCTGTCGGCTCGGCAACGTGCCGATAGGTTAAACAAGTTATAGTACAAATCACAGTTAACAAGGACAAGTGCATAATTAAGACATGATTAGCTGATTAGCATCGTATTACCTAATTTGGTAAAGATTAGAATAGGCCCACCACGTTCAGGCCCATGTCAGGTATTATAAATAGGTCACACGTAACGAGGTACGTCAGTGTTCATTAATTACCCTAGAATATCGTGCTTATCCTAACTTGAGCGGAGTGCTTTTTGCAGGTACCTCCCCTCTCTAAAGAGTCCGTTTAAAGCATCCGTTCGGCCCTTCTCACTAAGAAGACCATGAGTGTACCCTCATGCAGGTACAATTTTGATGCGAGGCGTCCTTATGTAAGAAGAATCATGTTTGGGAAGAAAAAAAAACAAGGAGGAGGGGCATGTGACGCGTGGTTGTTGTTGGAAAGGCCGCAGCAGTCGTGTGAGTGTAATAGAGAATACGGATGCTCCATCAGAATAAGAATCGGGAAAGAAGATGCTGACAAAGTTCGAAACGAAGAGCAACAGGGTGAAGGGCCTGAGCTTCCACGGGCAGAGGCCATGGATCCTGGCGAGCCTACACAGCGGAGTGATCCAGCTGTGGGACTACCGCATGGGGACGCTGGTGGACAGGTTCGAGGAGCACGAGGGCCCCGTGCGCGGCCTCCACTTCCACCACTCGCAGCCCCTGTTCGTGTCCGGCGGCGACGACTACAAGATCAAGCTCTGGAACTACAAGCTGCGGCGGTGCCTCTTCACCCTCCTGGGCCACCTGGACTACATCCGCACCGTGGAGTTCCACCAGCAGTCCCCCTGGATCGTCTCCGCCAGCGACGACCAGACCATCCGCATCTGGAACTGGCAGTCCCGCTCCTGCCTCTCCGTCCTCACCGGCCACAACCACTACGTCATGTCCGCCTCCTTCCACCCCAAGGACGACCTCCTCCTCTCCGCCTCCCTCGACCAGACCCTCCGCGTCTGGGACCTCTCCCCCCTCCGCCACACCTCCCCCTCCGACGCCCTCGTCAAATACCTCCTCGAGGGCCACGACCGCGGCGTCAACTGGGCCTCCTTCCACCCCTCCCTCCCTCTCATCGTCTCCGCCGCCGACGACCGCCAACTCAAGCTCTGGCGAATGAACGGTACTATCACTATCACTATCACTATCCACTCTTAACGAGATCTCCATCTCGATCTCGATCTCAATTCATCTCTCTCTGTTTTCCTCAGATACCAAGGCCTGGGAGGTGGATACCTTGAGAGGCCACACCAACAATGTCTCCTGTGTTCTTTTCCATGCCAAGCAGGATATTATTGTCTCCAACTCTGAGGACAAGAGTATTCGTGTCTGGGACGCCACCAAGCGGACTGGGATCCAGACTTTTCGCCGGGACCATGATCGCTTTTGGATTCTCGCTGCGCATCCTCACATGAATCTCTTGGCCGCCGGTCATGATAGTGGCATGATTGTGTTCAAGCTCGAGAGGGAAAGGCCTGCTTTTGCTGTGTCTGGGGATGCTTTGTTCTATACCAGAGACCGCTTTCTTCGCTTCTATGAGTTTTCCACGCAGAGGGAGACCCAGCTGCTGCCCATTCGCCGCCCTGGTTCTTTGAGTCTTAATCAGAGCCCCAGGACTCTTTCCTATAGTCCCACCGAAAATGCAGTTCTCCTCTGTTCGGATGTTGATGGGGGGTCTTATGAGCTGTATAGCATATCCAAGGATGGATATGGCAGGGGTGATTCTCAGGATGCCAAGAAAGGTGTTGGATTATCCGCCCTGTTTGTCGCTCGTAATAGGTTTGCTGTGCTTGACAAAAGCAGCAACCAAGTGCTTTTGAAGAATCTCAAGAATGAGACTGTCAAGAAGAGTGCCCTTCCCGTTGCCACCGATGCTATATTCTATGGGGGAACCGGCAATTTGATTTGTAGGTCAGAGGATAGGGTCGTTCTGTTCGATCTTCAACAGAGGATAGTTCTTGGTGAACTCCAGACCCCTTTTGTCAAGTATGTTGTCTGGTCTGGGGACATGGAAACTGTTGCTTTGCTCAGCAAGCATGCCATTGTCATTGCTACTAGGTATTGAAAGGGACCACCCTGGTGAAGGAGTTATCTCCTCGCACTTCCTTTTTTTTTTTTCTAAAACAAAGATATCTTTCTCGAGTTCCTCCTCTGTATCCTTCTCTTCTTGATTTTGTTGATCTTTGTGTTCATGATCTTTTTTAATTCATGCTTTATTACTAAGCTAGAATAATTGACATGGATCCTTTGTCCTTGATAATTTTATTGTATTCTTTGTTTTCTTTTGTGATTAGTAATGGTTACAGTGCCCCATTCTGATTGTGGGGTTTGTTGCTCTGATTATCAGATATCTAAGCGAGTTATTGGGAGAACGTAACAAGCTTAGTCCCTTCATGGCTGTGCTTCCCCACTGCTATCGATTGTTAAACCAAGGTTAGATTCGTTTCTCAAACTAGTGGTGAAAATAAGCTTCAAGTCATCCGTACCGCATCTCACCCTGTGCTTTAGTTATATGTATGATAAAATCAGTTTGTTTTTTCCTAGTCCCTAGTTTTCTAGGGATGTCAAAGCATTTAAGAAGCTATTTAGCTTAACAGTCACCTGTTAACTTTGGCACAAGTCAGAACTCATATATATATATATATATATATATATGATGTTTTTGGTTTGCTGATGCTCATATTTTTTCCATGATTAAATTGTTTATGTTCAATCCAAGATAGTTTATGGGGCTCAACACCTTTGCTTAAAGAGCAGATTGAAACAAGTTTGTTCTAATAAATAAATTCAATACTTTTCATTTTAAATGTTACAGAACTGTGTCAATTTCATGGAACTGTAATAATGATTGAATATTGATTATCTGCCTTAATGTTTTGTAGCCCCAAGGAAATTTGGGCTATGAGTATTAATTTATTTGTTGGACTTATGTTGCATGTAAGGATGCATAAAGTATAATTTATTCTGCATAACACCCATTTTAGTCAAGTATCTGTCAATTCGTTTTCAACGTGAATTGTGTGATTATATTCAAAGATATGAAATTTTTTTTTGGTAGATTCATACTATAACTTATATATTCTATTTATAAGTGAATTTAGCTTCTTACTTCTATAATTATAAGTTGATAAGTTGATTTAACATATGTAATTATTATAAAATGGGAAATATTGATAGTTGCCATATAATTTTAAGCTTATATTAGGGAATTAATGACACTAAGTGTATATAATGTACTGTCTGTGTATAGCTTCAGAGTTCAAACATGGTATTAGAGATCCTGATTTGCGAGTCTCTATTTCTGCTTCATTGGACTTCATTGCTGATTTGTTTGGAGAACCCAGCTCTTGTAGTGGGCCAACCCTGGTCGTCAACATAACTTCCTTTCTCCATTTGCACACCTTCATTGTCTGTCCTGTCCTTTCTGTGGATCTGGAAAAATAAGCCATGCCACCCTGAAACTGCCCAAGAAAATGTAGGGCTTTAAGTTTTGGGTGTAGCCTGCAAAACCCAGTAAAAGCCTGAAAAACCATCTTTTATAGGGTTTGAGCTTAATTTTTTAAATGCCACAACTGATTACAGGCTTTTTAATTGCCCAGATTCAATTTGAACCTCTAAAATATCTCCAGAACTTGTCCTCATACTGCATAACCTCCAGACCGGTCACCCCCTGCCTGAAGCCCTGTTGCTGGAGATCTCTGCCTTCTTATGCCTCCTCCCCTGCTGGGGTATGAACTTCACATACCATCTTCCCAGACACCATTCAACATTGTGCGTATCCCATTTTATTTGTCGGCATCCCTCTTTGTTTTGGTGGGTCATAGCCTGAGCTTCATGCCTGCACCTTTTGTGGTGGTTCCTTATTAAATGCAAAGTCTCTCTCATGCACAAACCCTAAGCCTTTGTTTGGAAATTGAGAGGGAAGAAAATAGAGAGAAGAGAAAAGAAAGAGCTTAGTAGGATGTGGTGGTGAGGAAGATTTGGAGGCGGCAGAGACAAAGGAAGGTGAGCTGGCAGATTCCATGAATGGTGCCTGTGATTGTGGTGGATGATTGTTATGGCATTTGAGCATGACTGTGATGAGAGGTTGAGACCTATGGGCTGATGTGAAACTTTTGAAGAAGCAGAAACTCAAAAGAAACAGAGAGATCATGACAGTGACTGCAAACATTTCTGGTGCCCAGTTTGGTTTTGGCTTAAGCATCTCAGATGCCATCCTTTTTCGCTTTGATATCAATGATTTGGTCTTTATTCTCCAATGAGTTGTTGAGTCCTTTCATTTTGATCTTTGTCACCCAATTTGTTAAAAGCACCATCATGTCACTTTCCTCTCCAGTTCTAATAAATAGTGATACCCTTTTTTGATCTTATTCAGCCTGGTGTTTTGTGTCCAGCTACTATTTCTAGTTATAAATGGTCAGTTTCTTTCATTGAAGACTGTATTTGTGTAACTAAGCTTTTCTTGCTGAAAGATAAATCGGAAGTATATCAATTGTTTGTCCAGTTTTACCTTATGGTTTAGGCGCAGTATGGGAAGCCACTCAAGTGTTTATGATCAGTTGAAGTCTAAAGTTTTTCTGTTGACTGTTAAAGTTAATCTAAGAGCTGAATATTACATGCCAACTAATTGTGCGAGCCCACAATTTTCACTTGGATGGACCATTAGCGGTAGACTTGAACTAACCTGTGCTGATTTATATATTAAAATCTGTAAATGTATAGTATGCTCACAGTACTACAAAAGTACCCAGGTAATATAGAAAAGGATAAATGTACATATTTTCATGTTGTAGTAGAAAACTACACTGAACTGTGAATAGTATTATACATGTACTTATTTGTACATATTTATTCATTTATTAATTTTTGCATTTGTTGATAAACCTTTTTAAGTTAGGTGAGATTGTTGGATGTAAGATTAAGAATGTAGTATACATAGGAAGCAATGATACAAAAGAGGTAATGTGAAGGACTTAACAAAAACGTTCAGGTTAATACTTATGAGGTCCACTGTTATTTGACTTTTAACTATAATCACCATTTTTCTTTTCAATTTTTTAATGGGGCAAATTCCTGTTTCTTTTGGTTTGGGGATGGGTTTGGATGAGTATTAAGCCCCGATACAATTAGGGGATCTTGAAGGTGAATTAGAGAAAGAACAGAAGAAAAAAATAATTAATCAATTGACTAGGTAGTCAGGCAGAACTGGCATAGGGTTTGACAGTTGAGGGTGGGGACAGTTAATAGTTTGGGGATATCTTGTGCAAGGGATTTGTGTTGTTGTACTAAGCCTAGTCATAGGTATTGAAAGGGACCACCCTGGTGAAGGAGTTATCTCCTCGCACTTCCTTTTTTTTTTTTCTAAAACAAAGATATCTTTCTCGAGTTCCTCCTCTGTATCCTTCTCTTCTTGATCTATTATTACTGTATTTCTTCTCCAGGAAAGATTACAAAGATGGTTGCAGTGAGGATTGAATCTAAGTTTTCATGTTTCTAACTACCCCAACCCCTCCTCACCCAACCATTAAGCTAACCCTAGTGGTTACAAGTACCTAATTTTATACTTATAGGAGTAGTAATTTTGATCTTCATCTTCGAACTCATTTGATACCTAGATATCATATTCGTACCCATGACCTATACTTTACTAATAATAATAATAATAATGATAATATTATTGATGATGATAATGATAATGATAATTAATTATCAAAATTTAATTCTTTTTTTAAAATGATCTCTTATATTATATTGGGATTAGACTACTAAGAAATAAGAAATATCAATCATTTATTTATTTTAAGTCACATTTATTTATTAGTTATATATATGCATTAGTTTTATTTTCATATATTACTTTTCTATATATTAAAACATCATAAAATGTGGAATAAAAAAATCAAATAAAGATTATTTTTTTATCATTATCTTCTTTTGCTTTCTTTGAAAATTCATATTTTTATTATATTTCAAAAATAATTGTAACAAAATGAATGATTGATATCAAAGATTAACTCTAAATTGTTAGTTAAAAAATGTTTGTAAAAAAAATGATAAAATTTAAATATCAATTAAGTTGATGGTGTTTATTTTAAAAATAAGCAAAATTTTCTTTTGGTAATTTACAAAAGTGAAAACAAAGATGAACAAACTAAACAAAAATATGAAGTTTGGAAGATTCCTTCATCTCACATTACGTGCAGTATTTGTGGCTTCTTATCCTACCAGATCATGAGCTACATTGTTAATATCATGAGCTACCAATCTCTTGCCATGAGATCTCTCGTCTTGCATATGACATCTCCATGTTGGTGCCAATCATCTCTACCGTGAGTAGAATTTTGAATCGCCAACACTGTCGCCATACAATTAGACTCACAAACTAACCATCACATCCTCGTCTCTTAAGTCCTTCTTCTATGGCTAAATTTTTTTCCCAAAGAGGGTCACCACCAAGGAAAGAGTTATCAAACCTATATCTCCATCTTCCAATATTGTCTCTAACCACCTCGCCAATCCTCATGACCTTAGGTTGTAAGAGTGAGTTGGCATTTATGTTATGTTTCGGGTAAGGGTAGGAGTGTTTATAGATCAGATTTTTGAAAAATTTGAACCGAGCCGAACCAATTCGTTTTATAAAAGTGGATCGGTTTGATTTTTTTTAAATATGGATCAGTTTTTTTGAAATTGGATTGGTTCAGTATGGTGTAGTTATCCACTTTTTACTCATATATGGATCGATTTTTTTAAAAAAACTAAACCGATCTACTTTGTAAAAATGGATTGGATAACTGAACTAGTTTTATAAAGTGATTCGGTTCGAATTTTTTTCAATATGGATCGGATCGGTTATGGATCGGTTCGAATCAATTTAGATTTTTTGCACACTCCTATTTAAGGGTACTCCAGCGGAGTTCAACCTATCTTATCAGTCCACAGAGCACGTTGTTTTTTAAAAAGAGAATTCTATGAGATGGAGATTGTAATCTTATGGACTATTGGGTGATACATAACATCATTATTCATAACACTTTATTCAACACATTAAACTCCAAATCACCCACATCATTATTCAATCACTCATGCTCTTTATTCTATATTCATGTAGTACCAATCTCTAACATTGCCAAAAGATGCTCCAATACAAGGTAATTGAAGAGCCATGGACCAAATCACGACACATTAGATGACCCTCTCAATCTACACTCTCGATTAGGGGTTATCTATCAGAATTTAGTCGAAGCATTACAGTTTGTCGTGGTCACCTCTCATTTCCATTAGAGGTTTTTTATCATAACACCTCCAAGGTCTAAATAGATGACCATAAAGACCCTCTTACATAAATTCACACCACCTCACCAAAGAAAATATGCATGCTATGTATGGACTCCACATAATTAACTAAAAACAACGCAATAACCATGCAATGTCTCAACAACAACTTCCCAGACCTCTTTGTCTAGACTTCTTCACAAAGTACTTAACCTTAAAATTGTAAAATTAAGCTTGACTCAATGGGTCGGCCTAGTCAACCCATTGATAAGGTTAGACTAGGCCTTAATAAGTGATTTTAATATACTTAAGTCATTTTGGTTTGACTCGCATAAATCGATAGGCCAAATGGACTTAGGTCAGGTTGACTTGTAGACTTTAGGCTGGTTTGATAGAAAAATAAATTAATAATTTAATACTAATAATAATTATTAAAATAAATAAATTAAAATATAATGTGTTGAAATATAAGTTTTGGATTGTAGGATTCTTCTTTTCTTTTGTCATCTTTGAAAAATAATATATAAGAAAAATAAGTTAAATTTCACTTTTGATTTTGTTTATGTAATATGTAACTTATATATATATATATATATATAGACAATTTTTCTTTATCTTCTATATTCTAATTTATTTACCTTTATATTTTTTTTATCTATAGAATAATTGTTTCCCAACCTCCCAAATCCAAAAAATTCACATTTTCACTAAAATGAATAAACAATAATAAATGTTAACTTGTTAAAAAAATATATTTAAGTTTTTTTTATATAAAATAAATTTTTAAATAATTTATTTATTTTTAATTTAGGCTAATTTGGCTTGGTGGCTTGATGACTCGACATGGAATAGGTTGGGTCAAAAAATTAACAACTTGAAAATAATACATGTCAGCCTAGCCTATAACCTAAAATCATGATTTGACCCATGTGGGCCAAGTTGGCCTAACCCGTTTGACAAACTACCCAGCCCTCCATAGATTTCATCATTGTCAAGTTTCTACTTATACTTACTCATCTCATCATCATCATCATCATCATCATTGATCAGCGTCTCAAACGTTGCAACATCATTCTCAAGTCAAATATCAACATTTCATAACACATCATGTACAACCATCTCATATTACATATAGATACAAAGTCTCAAGCATAAATTCTTGTAAATATAATTTCACACCTTCATAATAACCCACTCATCATTCCTCCAAAATTATTCTCTCTCACACTTTCTTTTTCTTATATATTGACATTAGCATTTCAATCAATTATTAAGATTAAACACTTAAAAGATAAAAAAAAATTACCATTATAACTCACAAACTATCTCTTCTTATATTATCCTTTTATAGCATCGTGTGGTCTAAATGTGTATCTAGTATTTACCTATGCTATCAAGTTAATTTTAATTTTATTAGAAAGTTAAGATAATTATTTATAATTTATAGTTGACTTCAAGAATTGATTTTACCATCAACTATTTTTAAAAATTATAAAACCTCAATATTTAAGTCTAAATCTGACAACTTGACATTCGTCTACTAATTTGATCATAACTTTAGTTTTAAATCTTCATTTTAGGTGATTTTATGCCATTGGAAAGATAACTTTCTACCACAAAACTTTATTCGATCATTTAAGGCTTTTCATAAGGCTTATAAGTTACAAAAGTCATGTTTCATGTAGTGAATGTGAGACTCATATTTTAATTTGCATAACTTGATCATTTTAAAGTATTTTTATGTGATTTTTAAGTCAAAATTATAAGTCCAAATGTTTTTTTTTCCGGCCCAAAAAATGAAATTCTATTTGGATAATCACACAGATAGAAATTATTTAAATACTAAGGCATGTTCATACAAAAAATTTCAAAATCAATCAAATTGTACAAAATCCCCAAATCATACATTCAACCCTAAGCCTCGAATATTCAACACTTAACAAAGTACAATCAATTGTCTCAAAACCCTCAAAAATTAGAACAATCATCATCATGCATGGCATCAATCTCAAATCATTATCACATGCTTCAAATAAATTTCAACCAGTAAACCTAAAAGGCTTAGGGATTGCTTCACTACCATACTCCTTATATGTGCCCAAAAGGTGAGACATTATCACTCTCCTTTTACCTTAGGTGGCAATCTCCAAGGCACGTGCACAATCCTCTATCATTTTCAAGGCTACCCATGTATTCTTTGGAGTTCTCCTCTAGGTTTTCCTTTGCAACTTTTTAGGGTCTAGAAATCTGATGCATTATATAAATTAACCCCTCCTCTGCTTATCTTTAATAAAACTCCAGGTTGGACTATGAGTCAAAATCCAAAAGTTTGTCTTTAACTCACTTGTTAAGCTTTATTTTATTTTATTTATCAAAAATATCATTATTTATATTATAAACTCAATTGAATAAATTAATTGAGCCTATGTTATAAACTTTATTTAACAATTTTATTTTATTTTTATTTTTAAAAAATAAGATGTTACATCTCCTCTACTTTTCAAAAAGATCAACAACATTTGAAGTGTTGATTTTAGTAATACCTGGTGGTTCAACATTCTTAATGGCATAATCGATGTCTAACCAACCCAACTGGAGAAGAATTCTTTCCTTTCAAATCTTATAATCATCACCCTCATTTAATATCATAAATATTCGTAGATTGAGAAACTTCAAAGTTAAAAAACATACATTCATCATTTACAATTTAAGACTAAAATAAATGTCATGTTTCACCAATATAAAACATGTCTTAATTTATGAATCTAGTTACATAAATTTTATCTACAGACTAAAGTCCTACCTTACTTGACTCATCACATTACCTTATGACAACAATATTAAATTATGTTTGTTTTCTTAATTCCTGTTGGTAGATTACAAAATATAGTTCAATATTTTATCCTAATTAACCGTATTAATAGAATAAAATTCACAAGAGTAGAGTTTGTCAAGTCACATATGATTAACTACAATTAATGTTTTCAGTGTAACCTTAAGACTTGATACATAATTCTAATCAATTAAAGATATTTGGATGCTCTCTAATTTATTAAAATTACATTAATCACTAAACATTAATAATTTTGAATAAAGAGTTAAACATTTGTATAAACATCTTTAACAATAAATTGAATAATAATGTATACATGTTATCAAACTTAATTTTGCATGTGTAATAGCAACAAATATATACATACAAGTTTTAAAAACAAATGCATACAATTATTCAATAAATTACAAGTTCTAAACTTTCACTAACACATAAAATATTCTAACTGAATATCACACTCATAAACATACAATTTTAACAAATAAATATTCCATACATATTATAATTTAATTTATTTATGCAAAACAACATATGTATCTTTCATATAAAATAAACAAAAACTCAATACTAAACAAAGTTAAACCCATGAATCAAAAGTTATTGTTTTAGTCTTACTTAAGGAATAATTGGGATTGAATGTTGACCATGACATTTCGTCCTTTTATTTTATTAAAAAAATGTAATTACATGAAAATGTGTCTATTGAACATTAAGAGAAAAATGATTTTGAGAACGTATTAATGTGAATGCACTTATATGTGATTAGCACAGTAAAACTTCATTGGTTGAACTACACAAAATTTAAACTCATGAAGAAATTGTTTAATTAAAAAATTGTTTAATTCAAACCAATTCACAAGTAACTAAAATCATTGATAGATATTCTACTTCAGTACTAAATCAATTGAACACTTACATTCTACTTCTTATCTAAATTTTGAATGCATTCACCATTAATGCTTGTTTACTTTGAATCATGAACAAGTAATATAATATTATCATTCAGTGACATGTTATCATGAACATAGTTGATCAAGTTATGATTTAATATAAAGAGTTAACTAAATCATTAAAAAAAATCAGTTCTAGTTTAAAAAAATTACAAGTATACAATAGCCAAATTAAAAGGTGAACATATATAAACTATTAACCTATCACCATTAATTAAGAGTTCCCAAGCCTTGCAAAAGGTTTTTGATCCAAAATTGCTAGGAACCTCTTCAAGTCACAATGGTATTTCAAATTCATTTGTTCAATTTGCGATTCCAAGCTTTACAATGAAAGTAACAATACTTCCTTTATTAATACCTTCACTTTCAATCCAAATATGCCCTCCCATCAAATTTACAAACCTGGTCATAATTTAAAACATTTCATACTTCAAAGTTAGTTTTAAACTTGGAATTGTAAAATAACTTATTCCAAATTTGCTAGTAATTTATAAAAGAAATCATATTTTTCATTTTATGAAAATTACCTCTTACAAATTGTAAGGCCAAGTACACTTTTATTAGAACTTCCTGTTACTAATGATTGACTTTGTGCAAAGTTACAGAATAACCTTGGAATATTTTGTGAATTAATTCCCAACCCTGAATCTTTCACCTATAACGTGAAGAGAAAAAAACCTTTGTTATTAAAGTTGGAAAATAATGAATTAAAAATCTCAAGAGAGAAGAATATTATGTAGAGTAACAAACCTGAACTTGTAAGTAAAAGTGTTTATCACTAATCTTTGGATGAAAATTTTCAATCCTATCATCCATGAATGACTCGAGGTTTGCAACAAATGCAAGGATACAAATTTCACCCTCAATTGAAAACTTCACAGCATTGCCAACAATATTTAAAATAGTTTGCATGAGACATTTCTCATCCCCAATGACATATGTTGGTAAATTGGAAGCTAGATTTAAAGTAAGAGACAATTTTTTGACAAATGCAACATGCTTTATCAAGTTATAGATCTGTTACATAAAAAATGAAATATCACAATGAATTATAATGAAACTCCAAAGTCCAAACCATTAGAAACAAATCAATCTAATAAAATTATTTAAAAATGAAAGTTTACCTCTTTGAACACAAAATGAAGGTTAAATGTTGTTGTTTCAAGTTGAAGACTACCCTCTTCAAGTCGTGAAAGATCAAAACTATCATTAATGAGAGTAATCAACAAATTACTTTTTTTCAATATCATCTCTATCATTAAACGTTGTTCAACTGTAAGTTTTGTTTCTAGTAATAATGAAGAAAGTGTAATAATTGCATGTAAAGGAGTTCTAATCTCGTGATTAATAGTTGTCCAAAGATCTTTATAGTCACGATTTGTAGTTTCTACTTCTTCTCTTGCCAATTCAAGTGCGGCATTTTGCTCAATGAGTATTTCTCTAGCCGTTGTTGACACTTCTAAAATTGTAGCATGTGAAAGAGCAACCGCCATCTAGTGTAGAAAAAAATTAAAACAAGTAATATTATTATTAATGAATATAATATAGGTGTGTTTTTCATAATATAAGTTATTTAATTTTGGGATGAAAATATCCAATTAATTTATTAATATATATATATATATATATATATATATATATATATATGCACAAAGTTTAGTAATACCAAACCCTAAACCTTTTTCAGGTAACAAAAAGTATCATCTTTGTTGTAAATAGTAGGATAACACATAATTTTAAGATAAGAAAATAATATACAAATGTATATCCTTCAAACCAAAGAAATTAATCAATATTGCATATAAAATAACATTTTATAAAAATAATAAAATAATTTCTGTAAGATTATTAAAAAAAAAACTTCAACTTGTTATAATAAATAAATAATATCCATGTTGAATGTAATTAATTTTTGAAGAGAAAATAAAATACATGTAAAAAATGTATATTAAAAAAGAAATTGAAATAAATAAAATTGCTTAAATATATACTCATGTTAAATAAAACTACTTTTAGTCCTCTAAAACAAGTTTTGTTGATTTTGATTCTTTAATATATATTTTTTTTAAATTATTGTTCAAACTACCACTCAACAGTGACAAGATACACATTTAGATATATCATTTTAGTGGCTATTGTAAGGTGGAGTGTGAAATGACATATCTAAATGCATATTACACACCAATAAGTGAGGATATGGGATATTTAAAAAATAAATTTTATCATAAGCAAAACTAAAATAAAATTATCTTTACATAAAGTAAAAACATAATATAATGGATTACTAACCTGATCAGTGACTACCTCAATTAGGTCTAACTCATGTGCATGCCATTGTCTAGCACTATTTGATGGTAACATTAAAACCATCAAAGCATAACTCTTGGTTGAAATATCTGACCAATGGTGTTTTTGAAAATTAGAGAGATGAAGAAGGGGTACACTAATAGCAATCACCTCTCCAGGCATGTACTGTTTAACATGAGGCAGTAATGTAACCACAGGACATTTTGGTGAAATTTTTATTGCTTTATTGCTACCAAATATTTGTTTAAACTCAGGAAGGTGAATGGGTACGGTATATCCGATTGGACTTTGTGGTGGCAATGTATAAGAGAGTTGCAACTCTAAACCTGTGTGAGTTGGCATCCATATAGCACATTCCTCTAGTGCCAAAGTTCTACTCAATTCAACAAGGGTTGTTTTCAATATTGTGTGTCTATCAAGAGTGCTTCTAATCTCGTTAGCTAGCATGCTAACATGTCGACCAATTTCTTCTTGTGTACGAATTACACTCATTTCTGTGTCAAGCTCCTTCACCATTTTCTTCAAAGTTAATTCTATTGTCTTAGCAGACAATAAATCCGGAATAATGTGTACAAGCATAAGGGCAGTTGCACAAGATACCACACTAGTTAAAATCTTAGTTGCAGTCATTATCATTGCCAAAGTTTTGGAATGTGTTCTACAAGTCCATAAATTGATTAAGTGTGTTGCCCCACAACAAATTATGAAAGCACCAAATTGGATAAGGACCCATTTATATGGAAATATTATTGATTTCTTAACGAAGTATATAAGTTCCAAAGGGATCGAAAAATAAGCAATGGCGATGAAGAAGTTTGAGATATATTGGTATTTCATGAACATTTCATCACCTAATTGTAATGGTTCAACACAATTGCAAGATTCCATGTCACCTTTACCGATTCTTCTTCACATAACTATATCAAAACACGCAAAAAGTAAGCATTAAGCATATATAAATAAAACCTAATAAAATAAATACAATGTGGGATTAAATATTGATAATATATATTATTTAATATTCTTTGGTAGTTTTTGGTTTTATGTTGCAAAATAGGAATAGAAAAGGAAAAATGATAAAATATAAGATAATTAAATAAGAAAAAAGTGTTTGAAATGTTTACTAAATGAATGTAACAGCATACAAAATGTTAATTATAAATGATTCAACTAATTTTTTCTGGTGTGTTTATTATAAATAATTAAACTATTTTTTTCAATCATTTTCATGAAAATTAAAAAAAGAAGAAGAAATATAGTAAAGTACATTTTAGGGGAGGATAGAATTTCAAAAGGGAGGGTTAAATATTTACCTTAATAAAATAATTGTAAAAGAAAAATTAACAAGGCAAGTGACCAAATCTTATAATGAATGAAAACTTGGGTAATTTGCAAATTGAATTTTGAGGGTAAAAATGATTCACTCCAATTACTTTAGTATTATTTCGTAACAATCTATTAATTTGATTTTAAGATTTAATCAATTTCAATTTATTTCAGTTTTGATAGGATTAGTTTCAATTTTTTTAAAAAGTCTATAGATAAATAAATTACAAAATATACAAAATAGTCCAACATCAAGCATCACAAAGTGAAGAAATACAAACAAGAAATGATTGTGTGCAACAACGATGGTGAAATTGTAGTTTGGGTTAATGAAAATGGTTTCTTTTGAGAATTTCAAGTGCAATTATAGTTAGACAAAATGAATAATGGAATCAGGCCTTAAGAATTCAACAATTAAAAATAAGGATATAATAAAAAACAATAAAAGTCAAGATTTAAATATATAGATAACACGTAAATTGGCAATAGAAGTATATGTATATCATATGATTGTTTCTTTAAAAAAAAATATCAGATGATTGTTTTGTTTGAGTTAAATTTTATTAATTTTTAACTTACAAATTAAAACCTGATACAATCTAATGAAGTACGAATCAATTTTTCAATGTTTTTCATTAAAAAAAAAAATCAATTTTCAATTCGTTTGATTTTTATATTTTTTATTTGATTATTGTGACATGTATTGGATTGAATTAGTTAATCAAGATCTTTAATGACAACTCTTTTAAAAATAAGGATGAACAAGCTAATAGATGAAGGCTACAATGATAAAATAACATATATAATCACATATCATGAAAACTATTATAGGATGAATCGAAATAGAATACTATTGTTTTTTACGAAGAATTTTTGTAAAACAAAATTAATAAAAAATAATTCATAAAAACAAACCTCAAAGATCAATAAGATACTAGTATTATCCTTCAATCCTGCAAAGCTTTCACTCTCTGCTATCTCACGAAATCTTTATAAGAGCAAATTCCAATTCATATTCTTTCATTTATATAAAATAAGTAAAAGTTATCAAAATTCATCCTTACTCTTTCTTATATAGAAAAATATCAATTATATATATAAAGCAATTAATTAAATACCATATATTTTTATCTCAATTCTACCAACCCAATATCTTTATTTCAAATTCATGCATGTGCTGAAAAGAAAGAAAATAATAATGATTTTACGGTATGTTTATCTTATTGGACATTTAAGAGTAAAAATGCATGGAATTGAGATCTAAAACAATTAAAATGCCTTTAATTTGGAAAATTATTAAAAAGAATAGAAATATATTTAAGAATAATTTTCTATTTTTTTAATCAAAATCGCTATATTAATTTTAAAATATACATGTACTCTTTTTTTACACCAATTATTTATTAAGACTAAAATTTCGTATTTTTAAAAATAAAAAAAATTAAATACATTTATTTTAAAATATAGAGACTAGAATTACAAACACGTAAAAATATAAGAATTAAAAGTACAATTTAACATAAAATAATTGAAAGTGTCATACAAAAAACATGTAAATTTAATATATAAAATAATTAAAATTTCTATTAATTGTTTATAAATATAAAAAAAAATTATAACTAATACTATGAAAAATAAATTGAATTAAAATTGAAAATAAAAAAATTAAAGGAGAAAATATGTTATTACAAATATTTTTTTAAATGTAACTTTGTTATACTATTAATTTTTTAATTTGTATAATGCACAAGTTAAATTAAAATGTTTATTATATGATTAAAATTGAAAATAAATTATGTATTTAAATATATAATATATTTTAATATATAAATTATATTTAAAATTTAAATGAATATATTTCTTTTAAATATATAAATTATATTTTAGATTTATGATAAATAATTTATATTATAATTATAGCACAAGATTATTTTTATTTATTGATAATTTATTTTAAAATATTTAAACTTAATTTATAAATAATTGTGATAAATAAAAACAAAGTTAGATATGAAGTTAAAAGAATTCTTAAAAATCCTTTCATCAAATAAAAGTTCCTAAAAACACTCTCTTACAAAATAGTAGTTCATATTTTATATGTAGGAGTTGGTTTCATTGGTCATTTAAATAATGTTCTTTAAATTAAAAATAGAAAAGATGGAATGAGAACATCTATAAATAAGGATCATTAGGACGATGAGTTAAAAAAATAAGCACGAAAGTGACAAAATTAGTAATATACTCTTATATATATAATTTATTTATTTAAATATTTAATCTATGCGATACAAAATATAAAGGTGGGTAGGGTAAAATTGGCATGTCCCTTTTATAAATGGGGCTTGGGCTGATTGGACTTGAATGAGAATGGGAACCCTAAGCCCAAACCGGAAAATGCAGAGTTTTGATTTGGTTAGCGTGCATGGTTGTAGGAAGCACAATGTTGATCCCACACCACACCACACCACAGCAGCAGCAGCTACGCAAGCCCTTTATTTCTTCTTCCTCAAGCACTGCCAACATTACAAATAGCAAAATAAAATAAAATATAAAGAACGGCAACCTTCTCATATTCCTTGATTCCGAATGGCGACGCGAAAGCTGATTCGCGATTTGTTACTCTCCAAACGATCCCTTCTTCTTCCTCCTCGCCACCAGGTTCCTTTCATGAGCAGAAGGTTACCTCTCGTTTCGGAAGATAGGCGTAGATACAGTGTTTTCAATGAGTTCTCTAAGAAAATTAAAGGCGAAGCTGTTAGGTATTCTTTTCTCTCTTCGAATTCAATTTTAATTGCACCATTGCACTTGTAATAGCTATGTTCCAATACCGAGGTTTGTAAATTGCATGAGCTTATTTCAAGAACAGAGTGGTTTAAAACCATCGGAATAAGTTAAAATAAGAAGGAAGAATGTGAAACTGTTAAAATTAGATTGTCCATAAGTTTAAAACCAGCTTTCAGATAAGCTAATATGTTCTATAAATTAGCTCATGCCTTATGCATAAGCTGGTTTTAACATTCAGAGCTTGTTTTATTTTTTTCCTTTTCTTTTCTTCTCTTAGAAGTGCTTATAGTGAAATTTATCCAAACAAATTCTAAATAAGCATTTTCTTTGACACAAGGGTTTAATTACCCCGTAGCCAAAATGTGCTTGCCTAAGAACCACTTTAGAGGATGCTTATTCTAATGTTAATTAGTAGATTAACTAGAATAACATTGTTAGTTTATTTTAAAATAATTTACCAATGCAAGCAACAACTGTTCTTAATTTTCAGCACATTACATTAGGTTTTTTTTTTTCGTTCTGTTTTTATAATCCTGTAGTTTAGTTTAGTAGTTTTTGACAAGCTTAAGCAACTATTTACACATTTCAAAGTACCTTAAAACAAGTTCCTGTCCCTAATTTATACAGTACAGAACACACAAAGACACGTGGCACAGTAATTGAAGATATTGGATTCCCTTGTGGCAACCACACCTCAGTCTTTTAGTTAAAGGAAGAACACAATGAGATAAGGAACTCAGTTGCTGGTGTAAAATTTAGAGCACACATATAAACTTATATGGATACCTCATTCCTTTGCTATATTAAAACATAAAGTTCTGCATAAGATAATGGATCAATAAAATTGCATTGGTTCAAACGCCTGCAGTCATTTTACTAATCATTATCTAGATATTAGAGGTTTAGTTTCCTGGAGGACTTAAATATTCAATCGAGATTTTCCAAAAAGGGAAGCGATAAATTATGATGTTTTATCTAATCTAATGAAGCATGATCCTCAATTGTTGTGTTTCAACGAACCAGCCAGAAAATCTTAAGTTCTAGAAGAGTGATCATAACTTTCGATTTATTCATCAAATTGAGCTTTTTTATGGGACTATCAGATTTATACTTTGAGCTCCATAATTTGTGGGTTCAAGAAAGTTAATTCAGAAAATTGGTGCCTTAAAACATTAGCTACATTTCCAGAAAATTTGGGAAAGTTAAACGGAGCCAAGATATCAAACCTGAAGTTCCCGAAGATGAATCAGTAAATCTCAAGATTTGAAACTCATGCATCTTGATTTGAAGGAAAACAATTGTGTCTTTTGTTCCATGGAATACACAAGGTAAAATCATAAAACTATCATACTTGAATTCTTGTTTTGTGCATCATAAATTGCGCCAAGATAATAAATAACATGGTTTAGGCTCCAAGCTGCACGCACCACGCAAATCCTGAAAACGCTGACAGGTACCACATGTAAAACAATATTTGTTATACAGCCACAGAAAATGTCAGAATCTCGATAAATGAGGGCCTACTCCTAGAAATTTCACCAGGCTTTGTGACAAGAATACAACACAAGAATAAAAAGAAGGGATTAAAACAAACTTGAGAACATGCATTAACACAATTACAACAAGAACCTTATGAGAAAATTATCATACTTTTTAGCATAATCAAAGAGTTTCAGGGAAGAAATTGGATAAAGGATCTGGGTTCCTATGTTGATGGTGAATGGAAGTTGACACAGGAGTTCAAGATTCCTTCTCTAGTCTGGTTCTGGGTCTATGTTTCCTGGCCTTTCTCTGAAAACTTCCTATGCTGCCAAGTGTGTGAGCAAGTGCTGTTGCACCTTATAATTCATACGTAGTCCCAAATCAAGTCTGTGGATCAGCACCTGTTGTTTGGGTGTCAACTGATGAAGTTCTATCTCTCATGATGTCTATAATTGAGCTATCACATGATTATGAACCTAGGATACATCTCTCTCTCTCTCTCTCTCCCCCTACTGTTTCTAAACCATACCTTTCTTTTCTAAAGTACATCCCCTTTTCCTGGTCAGATTTCTCATAATGCATTGTACAAGGCCTTGCTTATCTTTATAATAATAATAAAGTAATTTAACTTTTCATGCTATGCAAAAAATAATTGCACAGCATTTGGGAATTCAATCTCATATATATGTACTTGCAGTATGCTAAACATGCGAGCACACACACATAGACCCCTAACAATATGAGAGAAATGCCAAATGTACTCGAGACATTTTGTGCTTTAAGCAACTTGGATTAAGATTGTACATAAAATGCAATGGTATTATTCATTATACTTGTGTGTGCATGTGTGTATAATCCAATTTGTTCCATTTAATTCCTTCTTAATGTCTGTTAGGAAAGTAAGTGGGGCTGTTATATATACACTGGGCCACCCCCACCCGTTATTGAGTTATGAAGACTATGTATATAAGTCACTTTCCTGAAACAAAATGAAATAATAGACCTAATCTTTTGTATTTGGAGATAACAAAGCTTGATCTCTGAAATGTTTGTGCATGTCATGGCCTTGTATATATTGTTCTGTTGATTCTTTTTGAGGTTTTATTTCCTTTTATGGGGTGTTACTGTCTGCCCTATTTGTTTCTTGTCTTTGATGGTTGCAGAAACCAAGAATTCCAACAGTCTGTCAAGGAGCTGAAGGAAAAAGCAGATGAGCTTAAGGGGGTAAAAAAAGAGCTGAAAGAAAAGTAAGTGTTGTATGTGGTGACCATAACATAAATTTTTTTGTTACTGACTATTAGGCTGAGACATACCATTGTATGTCAAGGCTGGCTCAAGACTTCAATGAAGGGCCTGAGATGGTTAAATGGCTAATGCAGAACAAAGCAGAAAACTGAGCAGCTGTACAAACAAGTGGATGAAGTGTGGACAGAAGCTGAAGCTGCTGCAAAAAAGGTATAAGCAAAGGTCATCTTCAATTTCTACTCTGGATTAGTAATGGAAATATTATGAGAAAAGGGGAAAACAATGAACCTCACTTCTGAGGCTCTGTAGTCTTTTCGGAAAATGCTATGTAAACAACTACGAGGTGTACATCAATGCATAACTAGAGAATAAAGCCATTGTATAGCATGTGTAATTGTGTAGAAAAGTGTAATGTGAGCTTACACTGGTCTGGATGCAAATATGGTATAAAAATGGTTTCTTTTTTTCTTTTGGTTAGGTAAAGAGATGCATACATTGGAT